GATCAACAGGGCGGAGCGAGCAGTTATGGCTGCTCTCAGTCCTGCCCTCAGAGGCCCTGCTTCTCAGTGTCCCGGCAATCGCTGCAAGCACCCCCGAGAGAAAACTGCCCTTGAGTTCCGACTGATGCCAGACAGTCCAGTTTCTACCGTATGAGCCTGGGTCCCCAGAGACTCGCCAGAGACTGGGTCCTCAGGAACTGGAGCTCAGAGCTTGAGACTCCCTCCCGATTGAAAAAGACAACCGTGTCCTCAGCCGCCAACCCTCTCCGCATGCGCCTCTGTACCTCTGTATTTTACTTTCGCACCGCACCTCCTCTGAGTCTCGGTATGCTTTTCTCTTTCCTTCTAGTTGTAGAATTTCCACTCAGCCAGCCTTCCTGTGGTTCTGGATGATGTCCGTTCCGTCTTTTAGTTGTATTTTTGAAGTTGTTGTGAGAGGCAGCAATCTCCGGTGTTTACCTATGCCGCCATCTTGGTTTTTCAGGAGGATTGTTTTGTAATGGCATTTCCAGGAAGCCAAGGAGAGAGGATGATACAACAGCTGTCTTCTGTTTGATCTTGCTGTGGCTTATCCTTTGTTTCACCTCATATCTGGATGATCAGAAAACTTTAAAATTTTAGAATGTATCCCTTGTTTAGATTCTTAATAATGTGTAGGTCCTTGGACAATGGATGTATGTATAATAATTTTTGACTTGCAGATTACTAGTTTAAACATTTTGCCACCTTTGTTTTATCGTGTAGGTTACACATTATGCCCCTCTACCCCTTAATACTTAAGTTTGTATTTCATTTCCTAAGAACAAGGACATTTTCCTTAATGACTACAATGTACTTATCAAATTAATATTAGAGGCCCAACGCATGAAATTTGTGCAAGAGTAGGCCTTCGCAGCCCTGGCTGCCTTGGCCCTCACAGCCCCGGCTTCGTCTCGAGGTCGTCCGGAAGGTCGTCCAGAAGGTCGTCCAGAAGGTCGTCCAGACGTCATCCAGATGTCATTCCGCTGTTTTGCCGTTTGGTTGATTTGCATATTACACTTTTATTATTATAATCTAGTGCATATATTTCTAGTGTTGATTATAGCCCTCTATAAAATAATTGTCCATTTAGTATAGGATCATTTTTCCACTCAATTGTCATCCTATATCCTATATAATAAAAAGCTAATATGAAAATCGACCAAGTGGCCGAACGACTGGTAGTTATGATGTGCACTGACCACCAGGGGCAGACGCTCAATGCAGGAGCTGCCCCCCGGTGGTCAGTGCGCCAAAAGCCGGGCTCACTGCTGGTGAGAGCAGCAGTGGTGGCGGGAGCCTCTCCTGCCTCTGCGGCAGCGCTAAGGACGTCTGTGGGGAGTAGGTCTAAACCAGGGGTGGGCAAACTTTTTGACCCGAGGGCCACAATGGGTTCTTAAACTGGACCGGAGGGCCGGAACAAAAGCATGGATGGAGTGTTTGTGTGAACTAATATAAATTCAAAGTAAACATCATTACATAAAAGGGTACGGTCTTTTTTTTTTTTTTTTTAGTTTTATTCATTTCACACGGGCCGGATCCAGCCTTCGGCCCGTAGTTTGCCCACGGCTGGTTTAAACTGTCAGTCGGACATCTCCCCAGGGCTCCTGGATTGCAAGTGGGTGCAGGCTGGGCTGAGAGACTGACCATCCCCCCCACCCCAACCCATCCCTGTCCAGTGCACTAATTTCATGCATCGGGCCTCTAGTATCTCTGTAATTTAATCTGGAAGAGTTTCTTAGTCCTTACTGTCCTTTGTGACATTGATGTTTTTGAAGAATACAGACAAGCTTTGTTTTTTTTTAATTTTAGATATATATTTTTATTGATTGGTTAAGTTTAGAAAGAGTGAAACATTGATTTGTTCCATTTTTGTATGCATTCACTGGCTATTTCTTTTATATGTCCTGACTGGGGATCGAACCCACCACCGTGGCATATCAGGATGACACTAACCAACTGAGCTACCTGGCTGGGCCAATTGTTGGCATTGTTGAAGAATGTTCCTCATTTTGGCTTTAATGTTTCAAACACTTGAGGCCCCTAAAAGCCTATACTTGAAGATGAACAGTGAAACCTATTGGTAACATCTTTGTTTTTTAGGTTGCTGGAGGAGCCAATGTGATTCAGATTTCAGAAGCATTGAGCCAGTACAGGGACAGGTCATGTTTTATGAAGGAAGCCCTCTACAGACTTTTTGCAGAGACGTTTTCAACGCAGGCAACCATGCCCGCTATTTTAAAAGTAAGTACATCCCAGAAAGGTAGTTTTTGTTTGTTTGTTTGAAAAATAGAGCCATTATTTGTCTGTCTGTTTATCTATGTATCTATCATCTATCTATGTATCTACTGACTTTTTTAGAGAGGAAGGGAGAGAGAGAAACATCAATCTGTTGCCTCGTGTACATGCCTCGATGAGGATCGAATTCCACCACCTTTTGGTATACGGATGACACTCTAACCAACTGAACCACACATGTAGTTTTTATTATTACTACTTACTCGATTCTTACTTGATTCAATTAAAGTTGTTCACTACACACATTGAATACAGTAACTTACATGCCTCATTCTATAGTGAATCAAAATGCCCTTATAGCCGAAACCGGTTTGGCTCAGTGGATAGAGCGTCGGCCTGCGGACTGAAAGGTCCTGGGTTCGATTCCGGTCAAGGGCAGGTACCTGGGTTGCGGGCACGTCCCCAGTGGGGGGTGTGCAGGAGGCGGCTGATCGATGTTTCTCTCTCATCGATGTTTCTAACTCTCTATCTCTCTCCCTTCCTCTCTGTGGAAAATCAATAAAATATATTTTTAAAAAAATGCCCTTATAGAGAGAGGAAAATAGGTTTAACTGCCAGTTTAGCTCTCATTTTGAGTATCGGAATCAATTTTAATTATTCAGTTTTTTGAACTTAGTCTGAGAAAGGCATATAGGACTATTGCACTATTTTGCCTAAAACAGGACTCATTTATCTAGAAACATGAATTCACTTTTCCCTAAATGTTGTGTTTTATTTTTCATTCATTTACTCTTTAAAAATCTAACATCTGGTTTTCTGAAAACAATAACAATATCTCCAGTAAGAACAGAACAAAATAACAATAATTGAAGGTGGCCAAAACTCCCATTTAAAGTATTTTTTGAATGAAGTAAAATTGCCAATATTGATAGGGCCAGACCTTGCTTTGGTTTATGGAAGTGTGAATTTATTTTAAATGTAATTGGAAGTATTAAGTGGTTTGGGAAAGAAAACTGATTATTTAAAATTAAGTGACATATGAAAATAAAGAGTCTTAAAGTCACCTTGTCTTTATTATTTGCACTTCTTTGCAGTTCCTTAAAACTATGCCTATTTTGTACCATGGGAGATTAGATTTAAGTCATACCTTATAAACAACACTATATAAAGGAAAGACTCTGGACCTTTATTTCCCATCTGTAATGAGATTGAATTGGATGTTCTGAAAGTCCTTTTCTATCTAAGAATCTGTGATTTTTGAAAACCCTGTTTCTTTTGGTTTCTACATACTTAAATTGCAGATGATGATAACCCAATGAAATCCTAAGAGCAGTTTAGCAATATAGAAAAAGTCATTTTCCAGAGTGAAAGTAAGTCTATCCTTAGGCTCCATGAGTTCATGCAGCTGTCAAAGTGAGGGGCTCTGGTCTCTGAAAATCATGGTTCATGTATTAGAACTATTGCTAAGGAGATGAATCTCCCTATTCAAAAAAAAGAAAGATTTTAGAGGAAAGGAGAAAGAGAAAGAAAAAAAGAACGAGAGAAACATCAATGTGAGAGAAACATGGATCGGTTGCCTCCCAGTCGTGCCCTGACTGGGGATTGAACCAACGAGCTGGGTATGTGCCCAACCGGGATTGTACCCACCATCCTTTGGTGCGCGGGATATCGGCCAGGCCAGGGCTGATTACCCATATTTGATAGACAAAACAAATCACATTGTCCCTGAATGTTAGAGTAGGTATGGTCTAAGTGTGGTACAACACTTTCAACATTTGGTTTCTAGGTCTTCCATAGTCTGTCTTCTAGTTAGCATTTTACCACTTTTCAAATTCTTTCAAATTCAAATTTCTTCCTCTGTGGGTAGAATCCATCTCTTAGTCCACCTTGTGTTTTTCCCTATCACATTTCCCTTCCCCAGGAATTTCTTCTCCATTCCACCCCTACCTGCATCTGCTTCTGTCCATATCCTATCTGAGACCTTTGCCTAAAGATGCTTTTGGAATTAAGCCCTTTGATACCATGCCAGAAATAATTGCTCCTTCCATAACTACCCAAGGCAGCACTGCACTTTATTTATACCTTTTTTATATTGCTTTTCTTGGGTGGGGGGGAGAGGGTCATGTTTTGACATCTTTCACAATGTTATTTGTTTACATATATTACTTCTCTCACAAGGCTTTATGCTAAGGATTAGGGTATAAGTGTTTATGTCTCCTGAAGTGCTTATTGCAATGCCTAAACTGGAGTGAGGCTAACTAAGTGATTATGAAATCACAGATGAGGAAATGGTGGTCCAGAGAAGGGAAATGACTTGCCTAAAGCCACACAGCTAGTTAGTGACTGCATTTGGACTTGGACTAGAACAGCGGTTCTCAACCTGTGAGTCGCGACCCCTTTGGGGGTCGAACGACCCTTTCACAGGGGTCGCCTAAGACCATCGGAAAACACATATATAATTACATATTGTTTTTGTGATTAATCACTATGCTTTATGTTCAATTTGTAACAATGAAATTGGGGGTCACCACATGAGGAACTGTATTAAATTAGGATCGCGGCATTAGGAAGGTTGAGAACCACTGGACTAGAAGGTATTGCTAATGTTCTAAAAATAACTGTGGAGGATAGAGAAAATCTGTTACTTTCCCAGTGAGCAAATATTTTTCTGACTAGCATAAAAATGAGATAGTATAAAGAATGCTAATGTTGTCATAAGCCACTAAAAATACGTTCATCTTTAGCTTGTGGCTGTAGGAATGAGGAACCATCCATTGGATTTGCCAGTGCAGTTCACAGCCAGTGCTTGTGTCCTCAACTTAACACACCAGGGCCTGGCCAGGGGGATGCCTGTTCGTCTGTTGTCAGAGGTCACCTGTCTACTTTTCAAAGCTTTGAAAAATTTCCCTCATTATCAGCAGGTAATTTAAATTGAATACTTGACTCTGCTTCTTACTTCAGGACAAATATATGAAAAATGTGTATTTTTTAGTTCTGAGTTTTCATCCTATTAGAGCAGCGGTTCTCAACCTGTGGGTCGCAACCCCTTTGGCGGTCGAACGACCCTTTCACAGGGGTCGCCTAAGACCATCCTGCATATCAGATATTTACATTACGATTCATAACAGTAGCAACATTACAGTTATGAAGTAGCAACGAAAATAATTTTATGGTTGGGTCACAACATGAGGAACTATATTTAAAGGGCCAGAAGGTTGAGAACCACTGTATTAGAGAGAGAGAGAGAGAGAGAGAGAGAGAGAGAAAATAAGGAATTCATGTTAAATACAAGTGTTAAAACCATAAAATTTCTAGAAGAAAACATAAGGAGAAAATATTTGTGACCTTGGAGTAGTCAAAGTTTTCTTAGGATATAAAAAGCACACATCATAAAAGTAAAATAAATTAGAATCCAAAAAATTAAACATACACACACTGGAAAACATTAAAAAATGAAAAGGTAAGCCATGGACTGGGAAAAATGTTCATTATGGGGGGGGGGGGTGCGGCAAAAGTAGGTTTACAGTTGTGAGTACATGAAGCAGAATTTAGTCGTTTTTTAAAAATATATTTCTTACTAGAGGCCCGGTGCACAAAAATTTGTGCACTGGGGGGGGGGTCCCCCTTCAGCCCAGCCTGTGCCCTCGGGGATGACCACTTGCTGGCTTAGGTCTGCTTCCCGAGGGGGGGGGGGGATTGGGCCTAAGAAGGCAATCAGACAACCCTCTGGCAGCCCCGCAGCCCTCGGGGATGTCCACTTGCCAGCAGGGAGCAGGCCTAAGCTGCAGTCGGACATCCTTAGGGTTGCTGAGGAGGCAGGAGAGGCTCTCACCACCACCGCTTTACTGGCAGCCGTCAGCCTGGCTTGTGGCTGAGAAGAGCTCCCCCATGTGAGAGTGCCCTGACCACCAGGGGGCAGCTCCTGCATTTAGTGTCTGCCCCCTGGGGGGCAGGGGGTTTCAAAGTGACCAGTCATTCCCAGTCTTTCTGCTGTTAGGGTCAGTTTGCATATTACCCGTTTACTATATAGGATAGATGCCTGATGCATGGGTGGGGCCCGGCTGGTTTGCCCTGAAGGGTGTCCCGGATCAGGGTGGGGGTCCTACTTGGGTGCCTGGCCAGCCTGGATGAGGGGCTGATGGCTGTTTGCAGCTGGTCGCACCCCCCTCAGGGTGGGGGTCCCCACTGGGGTGCCTGGCCAGTCTGGGTGAGGGGCTGAGGGCCGTTTTCAGGCTGGTGGGCGACTGAAGCTCCCAACCTCTCCTTTTTTTCTTTTTTTTTTTTTTTTAATTCTGGGATTTATTTACCTTCTATGGCTGTCACTGGAGCTGAGAGCCAGCTCTAGTCTGAGGCCCGGCTCCATCTTGAGGCCTCGGCTGCTGAAAGCAGGTATCTGGGGTTTGTTTAGCTTCTATAATTGCAACATTGTTGCTTAGAGTGCAGCTCAGAGGCCGGCAGCGGCAGGCGGGGAACCTTGGCTTCCTCCATCACCGGGGCAACCAAGCCTCCTGTTCGCTTTAGCTGTGTGGCTGCCGGCCGCCATCTTGGTTGGCAGTTAATTTGCATATCGCCCTGATTAGCCAATGGGAAGCGTATTGGAGGTACGGTTAATTACCCTATTTGTCTTTTATTAGATAGGATTGTTGATAGTATTACAGGTGTTTCCCATTCTCCCCTTTGCTCACCTCCTCCCAGCCCTTACCCACCCCTCCAGGTCCTCACTACCCTATTGTCCATGTTCATGGGCTATGCATATAAGTATGTAAGTTGTTTGGTTTATCTCTTGCACAGAGTTTATTCTTGTATTACTATTTATTAATTATATCATTTTCCATGTGAACAACTAAACCTACTTTTGCCCCACCCTATATATATTTCAAAGGTCTTTTATCCAGAATATAAAGGACCCTTTTTAAAAAATATATATTTTTATTAATTTCAGAGAGAGAGAGAGACAGAAATGTCAATGAGGGAGAATAATTGATCAGCTGCCTCCTGCACGCTCCCTACTGGGAATTGAGCCTGCAACTTGGGCGTGTGCCCTTGACTGGAATGGAACCTGGGACCCTTCGGTATGCAGGCCAACGTTCTACCCCTTGAGCCAAACCGGCTAGGGCTGGATATAAAGAACTCATAATTCAGTAACACAAAATAAACCAATTTTTATTTTTTATTTATTTATTTTTTAAAAATATATTTTATTGATTTTTTACAGAGAGGAAGGGAGAGGGATAGAGAGTTAGAAACATCGATCAGCTGCCTCTTGCATACCCCCAACTGGGGATGTGCTCGTAACCAAGGTACATACCCTTGACTGGAATCGAACCCGGGAACCTTGAGTCCGCAGGCCGACGCTCTATCCACTGAGCCAAACCGGTCAGGGCAATAAACCAATTTTTAGAAAAGGCAAAAGATTTGAAAAGACATTTCACCAAAGAAGATGGGCAGGTGACAAATGAGCACATGAAAAGATGCTTAGTATCTTTAGTCAGTAGAAATGCAGATGAAAACCACAATAAGTTGTTATTGTACAACCCCTAGATTGGTTGAAATTAAAAGACTGACAATACAAAGTGTTGACAAGGATGTGGAACATATGAAATTCTCATATATTGATGTTAAGAATGTAAAATGATCCAACTACCAGTTCCACAGTCTTACAAGTTAAGACATACACCTTCTATATTACCTAGTCATCCTACTCTTAGAGAAAGGAAAGTATATATCCATATAAACACTTACACACAACTGTTCATAATATCTTTATTCATAATCCCCCAAAACTGAAAACTTCCCAAATGTCCAACAGCAGGTGAATAAACAATTATGATATATTCATATGAGGAAATACACATATTGGCAGTAAAAAGGAATGAATACTGGTTGAAGTACATGGATGAATCTCAAAAATATATGCTGAGCAAAAAGCCAGACACAAAAGAGTAGATATTACATTATTTCATTTATGTGAGAACTTAGAACAGACTAAAGTGTGATGTCAGTGTAATTTTCCAGGGCTGGGGTTTGCAAGGCCAGGATTGATTAGAAGGGGCAAAGGGGAACTCTTTGTGGTGATATAGTTTTTTTCCTTGATTATGATGGTGGTGTGGGGGTAGTGGTTACACAGTTGTATAAATTTGTCAAACTGATGAAATGTGTACTTAAAATGGAACAAAAAAGGTGGTCTTTCTTCATTAAAATCTTTTTCCATTTCTACTTTCTCTTAAAAAGTTGGAAGATCCTTCTCAATTCAGTCTTTTTTTTTTTAACATTTTGTATGCACATCTAATACTTTATTAGGTTTGAATTTCAAGCTCTAAAGTTATTAAAAGCAAATACTATCATCCAATAAAGTAGATTATAATACCGCTTCCATTTTTAGACTTCTGTCCTGGTTTCTTCTTTGAGGCAGCTGCTTCAGGGGGGTGGGGGTGTGTGTGGGGGGGGGCGTCGTTTAGTAACTGGGACAGGTTCTACTGTTTTGCTTGGAATCTTTGATACATCACTTTCTTTGGTGACCTGCTCTTCTAGTACAGACTTGTGTTTCTTTTCCTTCTTTTTTCTTTCTCTAACACCACTAGAAGTTTCAACCACATTCAGTGGAACAGGTACAAGTTGCTCATCTTCTACAGCCAAGGCATCAGATAATTTAAAGTCCCAGGGTACACTCTCAGAACCGGATTCATGAAGGTTCCCATTCTGGATTTCTTTCTTTTTCTTCTTTTTCTTTTCTGCCTACTTTTTATCTGTTTTGGTAGGAATAGCTTTTGTTCTCTCTTCTGTTTTGGAAGAACTTCATCATATAATGTTTCTTTCATGAAAAGCCAGAAGAAGAGGAAAATTACTGTAATAACTATGAAGGAATAAGAACAATAAAATATGTCGACTCATAAAACTCCGTCATGCTTTTGTTAATGTGATCCTATGAAGCCCTGTGCAGCGGGGGAAGGAGACCCGGAAGACGCGGTGGCGGCAGGACAGCCCGACCACCAGCTCCGAGGGGCCGCCACCGCCGTTGCGCTGCCCGGCCTCAATTCAGTCTTAATTTCTTCATGGCAGTTGTCAGTTGGAGCTGAGTAACAACTGCCCTTATAAGAGGGCATGAATCATCCAGTTTGTCATAATTCCTACCACTCTCCTGTTATTTCACACTCAACCTCCTTCACTTGTTTATGTTACTGCCTAGTCCCTGTTGGCATTTCAGGTTTCTGACCTGCCTCATACACTATATTTTTGTCATACTGGCCTCCTCATGGCTTTTCAAAGACATGTTACATTTCTCTATTTCTATAGCTTTCCCAGGAGGCCTTCTTTTCCTATCTGTAAAGGCCCAGTTCAACCCCTACCAGTCTTATGTAGAAAGTAGAAATTCTAGCATAGTTACTAGTAGTTATTGGATATGGTGTAGACATTTCTCGATTAGTAGGTGCACTAGGCTTCAGGTAATTGATTGGGACTGATATACATGCAGCCACTTTACTGACCCCCCCCCAAAAAAAAAGGGGGGGGGAGGAGGATTGTTCTTTAGGCAAAGGTGCATGTGATAGAGTTTATTGGTAAGATTAAATGAAGAACTTGGAGAGGGCCAGGTGCACAGACAGGCTCATTGGTAGCACCTTCCAAATGCATAGAACCCTTACTTAGAATTGAGTACATATTTACTCAAAATTAATTTTTTTATTCCCTTAAAGTTGCAAAAGAATTGTCTTCTCTCCTTAACCAATCCCAGGATTCTTGTGGATGTTCCATTTGACAGGCAAGTATAAATTTTGATCAGTTGATTTTGGGGTGTTGACCAGTGTTACTCTGAGCATTGTTGTCTTTGGGTTATTAGCTTAGCAAGGAGGGTCTGATTAAGGCTGGGATTCGGTGTTTGGGGGGAATGCTCTGTTGAGCCTCTTCCCCAGAGGTGATTGGAAGTACCTTGTCTGCAAATGTTGTTTCCCTAAATGTGATTTCAGTTCAGAGCTTCAGAGTAGTAAAACCTGGGGCTCCAGAGAGTCATACATACTTTAATTCAAGCTCTAGCCCTTTCATGATCTGTGCCTCAGTTGTCTCATTTGTAAAATATGACTTATGAGGATTAGATATAATGTTTGAAAAGAACTTAAAACAGTGCCTCGCTTAAGAAGTACAGGTTGTTCTAAACATTACTCATTCTTTTCGTTATTATTTTATTGATAGTAATTTTATTTTATTTTATTTTATTTTATTTTATTTTATTTTTTTTTAAATATATTTTACTGATATTTTACAGAGAGGAAGGGAGAGAGATAGAGAGTTAGAAACATCGATGAGAGAGAAACATCGATCAGCTGCCTCCTGCACATCTCCTACTGGGGATGTGCCCGCAACCCAGGTACATGCCCTTGACCGGAATCGAACCTGGGACCTTTCAGTCCGCAGGCCGACGCTCTATCCACTGAGCCAAACCAGTTTCGGCAATTGATAGTAATTTTAAAACATCCTCATCCTAGACTCCATAGGGATTCCTATTGAAGCCTTTGTAATCTCTCAGATTCATGAGTTCAAAAACATTTATAATAGTTGCTGCCAACAGCATAGTTTCTCATGAACACAGCCTGTGACTTATGGGTGCTGGTATAGGCTAAGCCATTCACAAATCTAATTGAAAATAGGTACTTGAAATGGGAGTTGACTTTTAAAAATACAGTAGGGAAAGTGGTCCTCCTCATTAAAAAAAAAAATCTGTTTCTACCTTCTCTTGAAAACTTGGAGGATCTTTCTCAACTCATTCTACTACATTCCTAAATGATCAGAGCTGAAGAACAGCTGCCCCTATAAAAGGGTGTGAATTCTCTCTAGCTAATTGATTTGCTTGCTGTGTCTACAGTTCAGATTACAAATTACTACTTCTCTTGGAACTTCTTTTCTTTTTCAGACTCATCATAGTAGAAACTGAATGCTAAAAAAGAAATCTTTCTCTCTTTTTTTTTATTTCAGAGAGGAAGGGAGAGGGAGAGAGAGATAGAAACATTAATGATGAGAGAGAATTATTGATTGGCTGCCTTCTCCATACTCCCTACTGGGGATCAAGCCCGCAACCTGGGCATGTGCCCTTGGCCAGAATCAAACCTGGTCAGTCCTCAGACCAATGCTCTATCTACTGAGCAAACTGACTAGGGTACAATAAATCTTTCTTAAATCTGCTCATCATTCTTTGAATCCTGTGCATTTTGCTCACATTCTTATTTGCATGCTGTCTTCTTCTGATCTCTTTTTGCCAAATGCTCTTGGTTTTCATAGCTGAGACTGTAGAAGTTGAGACTTTTTATTACAGGATTATAGGGGTAGATTAAGTGGTTTCTTTCCTCATATACAGTTTTACAAACTTTATTGTGAGAAAATTACTGCTTTTCAGGTTTGATGCTGCCAAATTTGTGATGAGTTGGCTCTGTAAGCATGAAAACCCCAAGATGCAAACAATGGCAGTGAGCATCACCTCTATTCTGGCCTTGCAGGTATGTGATTGCTAAAGGCAAGATCTCTTTCCCCTTAGTTCTGATGGAGCTTTGATGGAGATCTGATATTTCACTGTCAGCTTTTTGTTTGCTTACAGCTCTCAAGAGAGCAAACTGCACAACTTAAAGACGAGCTCCTCAGGGCAGTTAAGGTAGGTTGTTTGTCACTTTTACCACTTTTTTCAGTGAAAGTAATTTATGAACATACTTTATAAAATCAGATCATTCTATAAGGCCTAAAAAATGAAAAATCTGTAAGACCTGCTCCTCAGAAGAAATTACTATTATAGCTTTTTCTTGTGATATTTACCGTCACATCTCTGAATAAAATGCTTATTTAGTAACTGCAATTAAAAAACTTTTTGTGTGAATTCTTGAGTGATTAGTTTTAGATGTTATCTAGTGATTCTACTGCTATGGTAAACAAGAACTTAGCTCTTCTGTATATATTTCTACAAATTACCTCCACCCTCAACCCCACAAACTTATATCACAATTTTAATAAATCAGTAATTTAAGAGTTTGCTGATTATGCTAACATTATTTACATAAAAGTATACATTGTTTTATTTTACACTTATTTTAAGATGAGGCTTGAACCTTTTTTTTTTAAATTTAAGAATTTTATATCATGAGAACTGTCTATTCATAGCCTTATATTCTGGGTTATTGGCTTTTTTCAAATATATAGTTTAAAAAAAAAAAAATTCTCTTTAGCCCTAGCTGGTTTGGCTCAGTGGATAGAGTGTCGGCTTGGGGACTGAAAGGTCACAGGTTCGATTCCGGCCGAGGGCACATGCCTGGGTTGCGGGCTCGATCCCCAGTGGAGGGCGTGCAGGAGGCAGCCAATCAGTGATTCTCTCTCATCATTGATGTTTCTATCTCTCTCTCCCTCTCCTGTCCTCTCCAAAATCAATAAAATATAAGAAAAAAAAATTCTCTTTATTGTTGAAAGTATTTTTCCCCTCATTGGCCCTCCCCTCCCCAGCTCCGCCCCCTCCCCAGGCCTTCACCTCATTATTGTCTGTGTCCATGGGTAGTGCATATATACATATATACGTTCTTTGATTAATCTCCCCCCCCCCCACCCTTCTTTCTGAGAATCGTCAGTCTGTTGCATGCTTCCATGTCTCTGGATCTATTTTGTTTGTCAATTTATTTTGTTCGTTAGATTACATATATAAGTGAGATCATGTGATATTTGTATTTTATGATCATAGGACTATTTTTGAAAAGAGGGAAAAATTGATAGCATAGGCAAGATAGAAGGAAATAATTTTGGTGTCAAATCTTTGTGTGTGTATAGGAATTGTATATAGAGCAGAAGCAAACCTCTTGGCTTTAGATTGGAGCAGAAAGGATGGCAGATTACATCGATGCAAGTACAAGTAGGTTGGTAGGTGTTTTTAGGAAGAATAGTTACAGTTCTCAGGGGAAAATTAGATAAAGTGATCAAGTGAGAAAAGTAAGAAGATCGTGATTACAGTTTGAGGAGAGAGAATTATGAAATAGTAGTCTTTAGAGCAAACTCATTGAGAAATATAGTAGGATTGCCAGGGACAATTAAATACCCTTTTGAAATGTTTTGTGAGATAATGAAAGTGAGGCTCAAGCACATCTTTTTCAATATTCAGAATTTTGGGGATGGGGCATGAAGTAGGATTTAACCAAGGTAGGAGTTTTGCCAAGATGATGTGATGGAGGAACATTGAAGTTGTTGGGAATGATAAGAGGAATAGAGGCAGAGATGGAGAAATAAAGCTATTGATATAGGTAGGGAGCAAGTACGGAAAGTGACACAGAGGGAAGAATAGCACTGTAGTTCTTGGAGAAATAGTTTTAGGTTGTTCCGGCTTCAGATGAGAACAAACCAGATTTTTAGCCACGAGCCAGAAGAGCTTAGATAAGTCACTTATCTTCGTGCTTCAGATTCTTCATCTGAAAGCTGGCTTCATCTGAAAAACAGGCATCTGTCATAGGAGTGAGACTGTATTTCAGTTAGTTTGAGTATCATTAAGGTAAAATATGTAAAACATCTAACCTTAGGCTTGGCCACAGTCGTTACTTTCAGGGTCAGCCTCACGTCCCCTGCTCCCTCCCTTGTCTTGCTGCCCTTCACCCTGTTGACTGTCTAGGTGATGGCTACCAGTGTTGTGTGCCTTGCTTATATTATCTTGGCTCTCACAGCTTTATTTTTGCAATGAACTCTCTTTATTCTATTTTAGTTGGGTAAAATATTTGAGATCACCTCATTCCTTCTGATATTCTGATGTGTTTCGTGCTGTTATATTTTATGTATCTTTTCATTTACTGGTTACTTGAAAATGGCTGTCTTTTTCCTCTCACATGATATTCTAATATGCTTGAAAGAAAGCATAAATACCAGCTTAACTATGTCCAGAAATGTTCTGAACTGAAATGGTATGTTGGAATATCTGTTAATGAGAGCCAGTGGTTTCTTTCAAACTATTAGGGACATAATAGTTATGTTAGTGTTACCTTCTAGCCATACTGACTGTTCAGTGGCCTGGAACAGCACCCTTTTTCTTTGCCTGGCATAGGCTCTCCCCCCACCTCTTCTCTGTGTCCCCATTCCTTTCCTGGTTGGCATCCTCTTTTTCTTTTGTCTCAGTTGATATATTACCTTGGTATTGAAACATGGGGTTGAGGGTGCAGATTCTTTTGTGGGTCCTTGTCCTCATGAAGTTTGAAGAATAAACTCTCGGAAAATGCAGATGTTTATTGGAAGCATATACAAATTCCATCTGGGTAGGGGGGATACCCAAAGGGGAAAAGCCTGCTTTCTCTCTCTCTCTCTCTCTCTCTCTCTCTCTCTCTCTCTCTCTCTAATGGGGAAAAATCTAAAATCTGCTCAATATCTGTCTCCGGGTTTACAAAGGCAGCAGTTCTTTGTCTGGACCAGACCCTTTCTAATTGGACCTTTCCTTAATTTAGGACCCCCTTGCTTTCCTCATTTGGTCATTCTGCTATGCAGTATTAGTTTCAAAGCTCAAAGCCCACGTGGTGCCCTTCACATATATATCTTATCTGTTCAGGTTGGAGTTGATTTTTATCTCCCTTATGGCTCTCGGTTGTCTTGGCTGGAGATGTTTTATTATTCCTTGTGGCTCTCCCAGCAACTCAGGTCAGGGCTGCTTTTTTTTGGTGTGTGTGTGTTTGACATTTATTTTTATTAATTGCAAAGAGAAAAGGATTCAAGTCATAGTTCTTAGTCTGAATTAGTCCTCTAATTCCTTAGGCTTTTTTTTTTAATTTATTGTCTAAAGTTTTATATATGTCTCCTTTTTAGGTCAGGGCTGCTTTTGCTTTACCTAAGGTTGTTTTAATTGCTCAGGCCAAAGATACCTCTGCCTTCTTGGACCCCCTCCTCTTCCTGTCTGCCTAATTAAGCTAGCTAGCTAACCCTTCTCAGTATGGAGGCTCCTCTCTCCCATGTTTTCGAAGTAAATTCTTTTTTTAAAAAATTATTATTTTATTGATTTCAGAGAGGAAGGGAGAGGGAGAGAGACAGAAACATCAATGATGAGAGAGAATCATTCATTGGCTGCCTCCTGCATGTCCCCTACTGGGGATGGAGCCCACAACTTGGACATGTGCCCTTGACTGGAATTGAACCCTTCAGTCCGCAGGCTGATGCTCTATCCATTGAGCCAAACCAGCTAGGGCTCTAAGTAAATTCTTTAATGTATTTCCTTCAGAGCATTTACCAAAATTTAAATTTATTTTATGTAGTTGAGAAAAACCGTTGTTTTGATTTGTCTCTCTTATCTGAATAAATGTCTGACTTCCAGAAGGTGATGACTAGACATTCTCAATAAATGAATAATGGAAAGCTAATACATACTTGACTATAGATTTATTAACAAGCACCAAGAACTAGATTGAAGTGCTCATTAAACTTCAATTTTTTTTTCATTTGATCCTCATAGAAACCCTAGGAGATAGATATAATTCATTTTATAGGGAAAAATGGATCACAAAGCTTTTAAATAGTAGAACTTGTTAGAACCCAGGTTTGATTCTATAGCTTTTCTTAACTGTGGCTTTTCTTTTAATGGAATTGAGTTAGTCATTAGGGTATCTCACTCCCCGTCTCTTTGTTTGTAGGAACTTCTAGCAATAGTAAAACAAAAGACTACTGAGAATTTAGATGATGTCACCTTCTTGTTTGCTTTGAAAGCACTTTGGAATCTTACAGACGAGTCTCCAGTTGCCTGCAAGCACTTTATGGAAAATCAAGGACTGGCAATCTTCATTCAAGTTTTGGAGGTAGTAATTCAAGACTGAATTTATATGTAAAGTTCTTTTCTTCATGATAAAGTAACTATATATTCTTTTGACAGACTTTTTCAGGATCAGCAATACAAAGCAAAGTACTTGGACTTTTGGTAAGGTTTTGTTTTGAGTTAATTCTAATTACTTAAGAAATCAGAAAACTAACATTTATGTCGTACCTACTATATGCTAGGCACTTTTGTAAGCATTGACATGCATTAACTTGTTTAATCTAAATACTGTTGTATATCAGTCATCTATTGCTTTGAACAGACTACAGCTTAAAACAACAGCCATTTTATTTACTTATGAATCTGTGGGTCAACAGTTTGAACTCAGTTCAGCTGTATTGTCGTGCGGTCTCCTGTGGAGTTACTCGTAGCTGCAGTCATCTGGTGGCGCAGCGAGGGCTAGATGCGAATGCTGCCCAACTGACACTTGGATGGCAGCCTTGTGAGACCTCAGAGTAGAGGACCCAGCCAAGCCACGCCTGGGCTCATGACCCGCAGAAACTGAGAGAAAAATGTGTGTTGTTTTAAGCCACTGAGTTTGTGGCAATTTGTTACACAGCATAGAAAATGAATACGATATATAAAATAAAGAACTACCTGCCTTCTATTATTACTGTTGAATTTCAAGCTAATAAAACATATAGTAGACCCCTAGGAATGTTTAGTATTTGAGTCAGGCCTGGATTTATATTCTAGTTCAACCAGGTGTTAGTGTTAACCAGCCAAGTTAGTCTTACTGAATGTCAGATTTCTACGTTATGACAAGGTAGATGAAAAGACTTTTTTGTTTATCTAGTTCAGTGCCTGGCACATAGTAAGTGCTTACTCAATTGTTATTGCTGATCATCCTCATGAGGGGGTGGGATTGTGGGTATTAGGCTACATTGAGAGGGAGTAGGGTGGAACTAAGTGTTACCAACGTATTTGAGCTGAGCACTAGGAGTGGGAGAGTAGCCGGTTCCTGATTCTGTCCTCCTTTCCTGTCTCTGATATTGTCTGCTCCATGTGACCTGTAGAACAATGTAGCTGAAGTCAGAGAGCTCTCTTCCGAGCTGGTGACCAAAGATGTGGTGAAGCATATCAGCGTCTTGCTCCATAGCACAGCGATGGAAGTCAGCTATTTCGCTGCAGGCGTCATAGCCCACCTGGCATCTGACCCACAGCCCTGGGTGTCCTGTGACCTTCAGAGGACTACTCTTCTCCAAGATCTGGTACAAGAGCCATTCCTCTACAAAGCCCTGCATAATCTCTTAGAGAAAACCTGTTTTTCCAGATACAAGAGTTTTAGAAACATGTATTCATTGTAGAAAGTGGGAAACACAGGAAAGTATAAAGAAAATATTATAAATCATGCATACCCTACCCTGCAAAGCTAATCTCTACTAACATTTTGTTGCATTTTTCCTTTTATAAAAAAGTTACGTGCAAGCATTGTATATAGCTAATTCTAACTCTCACATTCAGCTCTTTTTAAAGCTATTTCTTTTGGTATTTACCTCCATATCTCTAAATGATATATTGCTCCTTCTTGACTTTGCAAATTTAGGCCTCTATCAGTTCATTTTCCCATTCTATAAAAAGAAGTTTCTTTTTCTCACTGTCCCTATGCACATCCTTCGTTATACTTCCACAAGTACAAATCTCCTTTTGTACATTGAAATATATTCCATCCACTTCATCTTCTCAGACACTTCTTGCCCAGAGCCTCTGTGTCTGTCATCTGGTCTGTTTTTTATTTGTTTGTTTGTTTTTTATATCTGCTATACTATTGTCAACCAGGATATTCCTTTACTATCCTGCTAGAAATTCTTTGGTCTCTCTAGTATTGGATTTCCTGTTTCCTGGATTGCATGCCTGCCTGTATTTTGGTGTATTCCCTCATTCTGTTGGACCACATCCTCCAGTAGCTTCTTAAGAAGAGATTCGTGAAATAGAAAATTTGAGACCTTATTCTGAGTATAGAATTTTAGGGGTTTTTTTTTAGAATTTTAGTTTTGAAGTAGTTTCCCTTTGGAATTTTTAAGGCATTGACCTTTTGTCTTTAACTTTGAAAGCTTTAAGATTTTTGTTCTCAGTGTTTGGAAATCACAGAGGTGTTCCCTCGGTGTGGGTATATTTTCATCTGTTATGTTTGGCCAGTTAGGGGTCCTGAAGCTCATTTCTTTCAGTTCTGGGAAATTTCTTCCTTTCTCCCCCCATCTCTCTCTCCTTCAGTTCTGGGGAATTTCTTCCACCTTTCTTTCCTTCCTACCATTCCTCTCTCCTTTTTTCTTTGGGGGTGGAGGTGGGGGCGGGAAATGTTGATCCTGACAGATTCATCTTTTCTTATCACCTTATTTATCATTAAAAAAAATATTTCAACTTCTATTGGATTTTGCATTTTTGCTATTATAATTTAAATTTCCAAGAACCCCTATTATCTCTTTAAAGGTATTACTGATAATTTAGTGGTTTTGTTTTAAGATTTTATCTTCCGCCCTGACTGGTTTGGCTCAGTGGATAGAGCATCAGCTTGCAGACTGAAGGGTCCCGGGTTCGATTCCAGTCAAGGGCATGTACTAGTAACTTGGTTGCGGGCACATCCCCAGTAGGGGGTGTGCAGGAGGCAGCTGATTGATGTTTCTTTCTCATCGATGTTTCTAACTCTCTATCCCTCTCCCTTCCTCTCTGTAAAAAATCAATACGATATATATATATATATATATATATATATATATATATATATATATATATAAAAGATTTTGTCTTCCTCCAAGGTCTCTGTCTCCTTCAAGTTGGTCTTTTTTCCTATTTCTGTTCCTTGATGTTACAGATTTTCTTAGTGTATGACGATCCTCAGCTGTCCATTCATACCTAAGAGTAGAACTGTTCAGGAAGCTGTATGCTGATGAATAGAACTTGTCAACTGCGGGCTTTATAGCGTGATCTGGATTAATTGTGCCTCAGTGTCAGTGTCATTAGATCTTTTGTCCTGAACTGGTTGGGATTTATCTGAAGAAGAATCTTTTATTCTCCTGATTGAAAACTGTAAGCTTGACTGTCAACAGTATGAAAGCCCACTAGAGGAAGAGAGTTGAGGGCAGGGAAGTCTCGGTATTTTATATTTAGATTAGGGGCCCAGTGCACGAATTCGTACACCTTGAAAGGAACTGTGGGCTGCGAGGCTGCGGTGGGCACAGGGGGGGTCTTGGCCCATCCTCCACGCCCCTGCCTGGCCCCTCCCACCACCCCTGACCCCCGGTCCACTGTCTGCCAGCAGCCCTGCTCCCGCCACTGCTGCTCCCACTTGCTGACGGCACTGGCCCTGCTCATACCAGCTGACAGCTCAGTGATTGAGGCCAGCACCAGCAGCGGGTGCAAGTGGGGCTGGTGCCGTCAGTGGGTGTGAGCAGCAGCTGCTGCCCCAATCACCCCTCAGGAGCAGGGGGAAGTAGAGAAGCCCTCAAGGGCAATTGGGGCCAGCAGCCGCCACTTGGACCCGATGACAGCACCAAGCATTTGGGACCGGTGCCAGGTGCCGGCAGTGGGTGCAAGCGGGGCCAGTGCTGGCAGTGGGTATGGGTGCCAAGTGGGACCGCAGCACGTGGGAGCAAAGAATTTTCAGTAACCACCAGAGGCTCGCTCCGATAACAGTGACCAGTGCCCTGCCTTGGTGTGGCGCCCCCGCTCACCTGCTCCATCATCCTGCTGCAGCTGTCACTTGCCATGTTCTGCGCGCGCTCCCTGGTGGTCAGCGCACATCATAGCACCCGGTTCAGTTCTGCTGTTTGGTCTATTTGTATATTAGCCTTTTATTATATAGACTAGAGGCCAGGAGCAGAAAATATGAGCCTCGGGGTCCCTCAGC